CGGGGGTGATGTCTTCCTCCTTCCAACCCAGTGCACTCTCCTAGTTGCTATGTTTGGCGGAACCCCGGCTATGTCATGGAATCTACACCTGTCCACTTCCCTACGGGCCTTTGATTCCCTTATATTCGGCTCCTCGTTTTTAAGTATGAGGAGGTTTCTTCGAAGTTCAAATCTGGGGATACTTACTGCAAGGAAGGTACTCACTGGCTTCTTCAACCCCTGGAGCTCTTCTTCTAACCTGTCTCTACTCCCTTGTGAGGGAGTGATATTTTTATCCGCTCCAGGTTACGAATCGACCCTCAATGTTGCTTGGACGGTTTGCACCCTGACGTACTGTAGTGATAGTAGAAGTAGTAGTAGTTAAATTACGCACAGAATTCAGGACACGAATTAGAAAACCGGTGGCACTGGACCGCAATGTCTTAAAATCGCAATACCCCGCAGGATCGAGACCCGAGGAAAAAGGCCACAAGACAGGAGAATCACGAAGTCGTTATTGAAGGAAATGAAAGTGAATATATATGTGCACAAAAGAAGATCATTGGTTACCTTAGCTTCCACCAATATTGAAGGAAATGAAAGTGAATATATATGTTCACAAGAAAAGATCATTGGCTACCTTAGATTCCACCAATCATATTGCATCACATTTTGCGTCAAACTGCTCTTCTCTGCATTGTATCTGATTGGCTGGAACGGTCCACCAATGACGTGTATCCGGAGGCTGAGCACGTGCTACTGGCGTCAGTGCTCAAGGTCGATTGATTACCAATGTCCGGAAACTGTACGCCGTGATCTTGTAGATCCGAACCACAACAACTCTCCTCCCTCAAAGGAGCCTTGTCGAATTGGCTTGCTCTCCTGATTGGTCTTCGGAGTGCTAGTGAGGTATTCTCGTCAGTAGACGTTCCCGGAGTACAGGGTTGCTGTGTATGGTCTTCTGTGGTTGTTGGCGGTGTATCACAGGATGGGTTTTCTTGGGTTTTGTCGGCCGGATCCTCAATCGGAGTGTGAGTCTCTTTGAAGTGGATTTGATTGATGTGAAGTCGGTGAACTGTTGCATATCTTAGGTCTGTGATCTCGACCATGAATCGACCAATCTTACTGGTAATGATTTTTTTCTATGGTCTCAGGTCGTTTCCTTTGAAGTATACAACGTCACTTGAATCCAGGCATCGCAGTGAGGAAAGTAAACTTCTGGTTTTGAACAGTTTTGCCGGACTCTCCTTGGTAGTAGCATTTGCGGCATTTCGGTATTGTAGTAGGAAGTTGTCTAGGAGTATCTCCAACTCGACAATTGTCCTTGGCTTTGCGGAAGCTATGGCACTCTTCACCGTTTTCACCAGGTTTTCCGCTGCACCGTTCGAACAGGGATGGTGTGGTGCTGTGCGCAAATGTCTGCAGTCAGTGCTGTTCAGCCATGCCTTCAATTACGCAGCACAGAATTGCGATCCGTTATCAGTCACAAAGACTTGTGGAACACCCGCTCGACAAAAACACTTTCGTAGTACTCTCATCACGAACGACGTGGTTGGTGTGCTGGTTAGGAATACTTCCGGCCATTTCGAGTAGGAATCAATGAGTACTAGTGCGTGGTACTGACCGAGAAATGGTCCGCAGAAGTCGGCTGCTGCTCCAGGCGCTGCTCGAGGGCGGGCGTAATCTTGTGGATGCAAATCACCACACGTACGTTGTAGTTAACCAAACGTAGCGGTTTATGTAATGGTGTTGATACCATACTGCCTCCCAGGTCCTATGCAGAACAGTTTACCATGATTTCTCTCCCTAAGGTTTCCTCTTTTCTTGGCTGGAGGCGACCTGAGCGTAACTTCTCACGGTTCCGTTCGGTCGGGACGCTTGCTGCTCGGTTTGCCTCCGGCCTCTGATTTCCGCTTCGCGAACGCGAACCTGGCCGCACTGCTCAAAAAGGAACTCTACTCAGCTATTTTTGCAAAAGAATGCAAAGCGGTCTTTGCTGATGCCTAAACAATCAGAATGCGCCCACTTTTTGCAGGTTTCACATCCTTCTTCAGCTTCTTTCCTCAGTTATCCTTCAAACATGGATTGGACAATTGCGCCATCTTAAGGTGTCTACTTATTTGAGTATAGATGATCAAAACGTAAAACATTTGTATGGAAAACGACAGATGAACATGCTACGTAAAATCGTTACGCAAAACCAAGGTAAATAACCTAATTGGCTGTGCGAAGAGTTTCGATCTGCGCTGCTATTTACTGTTTGACAGACCACCGTAGATAATCACGATCGAAACCTAGAAAAACAAAAGGGTGCAAAACACAGTAAAGTGCCAATTTATGGCAACTGAACTTTACTTTTACAATGAAAGCACCAGGCGAATCGGAGCCCGTCAATCATTTCAACCGCGCTAACGTACCGTTCAGTTCTGTGCAACTTTAAAATGTCGGGACGGGTCAGGTCAGGTCAGATTAGTCTAGTCCAGTCCTGTCTTTACAAGATGAATAATGACCCATGCCAATCGAGCGTAGAGATTGTGGTGTTGTCAACGGGTGTTCTTTGCTCCCAAAATTGTTTTCCGGTTTTTATCAAGGTTCCTCAATCGAGCTAGAAAAGAGAAAACAGAAGAGATATCTTCTCGCCTCATTGGTCAGAGACCTTAGTTTTCTGAAACATACCAATTTCAAGCACAATTGAAAGGCCCGATTATATAGTTCGGGGCTGCAATTTACCTGGTTCTGAGTGGCTATGCATTGCCATTTAACCTTAGGGAACATTTCTAGCTAACACGCATCAATTGCCTTTTTGAAGTTGTGCAGATTAGTGCAGTTGACTACTCCCCCAGGTAACCTATTCTACATTGGTATGACCCCGTGTGCGAAGAAGTTGGCCCGGACCTCCAACCTAGCATGGTTCTGTTGAAACTTAAAGCTATGACCCTCGAGTTTTGAGCACCAGAAGCCGTAAACAAGTTATCTGCGTGGAGTCCCGATAGCCCTCTGACTATGTAGCTGTGTCCACCTTCTAAACCTAACTCTTATCAGTACACGGAATCATCTTCAAAGCTGGATCTATGGAACAATCTGGTAGATACTCCTAGAAGTATTGTGACCTCTTGTTTCGTATTCGAAATGTTTCTGATATCGTTGTCGATCATATTCACCCGGTTCTCTTATCACAAATGTATACATATTTCACTAGAGTATTGTTTCGTTGCATGCTCTGTTTTCCCCTCTCTCTTCCCTTCTCAGCTGGGTACTACCCCAAACTGTTGAGTATCGCCCTTTTGTTCCAAATTTGGTTGGCTTGGGCCTGTCGAAAGATTGGGGTCTACATCTACCATGGACAAGTCGGATCCAGCAATGGTTGTTGGGCACGACTATTTCCACCGTTTTGACTGCATGCGTCCGCATTCCCCACCAGGTTGAAGACCACACCCCTTGCCTCACCTACAAGGTGTTTTAAGGTGAGGTGTCTAGCATTTCGTC